GAGGAGATTCACAACTGGTCATCAAACAATTAACTCGAGAGTATAAGTGTTTAAACGAAAAATTAGTTGAATTCAAGACTCGAGCTGTGCAGTTACTTGATACGTTTGGTGAAGTAGAGTTACAACACATTCCTCGGGACTCAAATCTTATCGCAAATGAGTTGGCTCAGATAGCCTCTGGATATAAAATCAGTAAAGAGTGTCTCGAATATCTGATTCATACAGAAAGTGAAGTGTTAGACCATCGAGAAATTCTAAGCATAGGTTCAGCAAGTCAACAAGATTGGAGGAGCAAATTGATCGAATACTTGCGAAATCCTAATATAAAGGTCGAAAGGAAGATTAAACTCCAAGCTCTCAATTATCTCTTACTAAACGATGAATTGTACAAAAGAGGCTTCGATGGAGTTTTGTTCAAATGTCTGGGAGACCATGAAGGTTATATAGCAATGGCAGAAATACATGAAGGTATTTGTGGGGCACATCAAGCGGGTGAAAAGATGAAATGGACCCTGTCGAGAAAAGGTTTTTATTGGCCGACAATGATCAAAGATTGTATCGAATTCGCAAAAAGTTGTGAGGAATGTCAAAAACATGGGCCAATACAAAGAGTTCCCGCAAGTGAATTGCATTCGATCATTAAGCCTTGGCCATTTCGAGGTTGGGCAATTGACATGATAGGGCAAATACATCCACCTTCCTCGAAAAATCATAAATATATATTGGTGGCCATTGATTATTTTACGAAATGGGTTGAAGCTATTCCATTAAAAGAAGTCGAGCAAAAAGATATAATTGATTTTGGGGAAGATCATATTATCACAAGGTTTGGGATCCCTCAAACAATCACTACAGATCAAGGTACAGTATTTACATGTCGAAAATTTGCTCAATATGCCCAATCGAGAGGGATTAAGTTAATAATTTCAACACCATATTATGCACAAGCAAATGGTCAAGTGGAAGCTGCTAATAAAGTAGTGATTGACTTAATCAAGAAACATATCTCGAACAAGCCTCGAAACTGGCAGGAAACTCTTGTTCAAATACTATGGGCTTACAGAAATTCTCCGAGAGGCGCTACAAAACTACCCCGTATAAACTGGTGTATGGGCACGAGGCTATTCTTCCTATAGATATTAATTTGCAACCAATTCATATACAGAAACAAAATGAGTTACCTATGGAGGATTATTGGAATTTAATGTATGATGAATTGGTTTCTTTAGAGGAAGAAAGATTGATTGCATTGCAAAACCTTGTTCAACAAAAGGAAAGAGTCGAGAAATCATACAATAAGAGAGTCAAAGCACGTAGTTTTCGAGTTGGTGACTTGGTGTTAAAAGTGATTCTTCCCATGGATCAAAAATCTCGACACTTTGGAAAGTGGTCTCCTAATTGGGAAGGTCCCTTTATAATCGAGCAAGCATATTCGAAAAACGCATACGTGATTAAAGAAATCGATTCAAATGTGAACAAAGTTATAAATGGAAAATATTTGAAACACTTTCATGAGAGAGCAGAATGTTAAATAGTTGTTCATTACAAGCCAAAGAGAAATTCAAAAAATCAAGATTGAAAAATCTAATTATTACAAAACTTGGACTTGAAATCTTTAAAAGCCTTATAAGCCTCATCCAAGCTTTGCCTTCGAGCAACACATTGACTCTCCAGATGTTTCTTGTGCTCCAAAGTTTTGGCCAGTCTCGAAGAGATAACCTTGCCTTCTTCTTTTAAGTTCTTCTGACGTTGCACAACGTCTTGACTTTGAGTCTTCAAAGCGGCCTGTTTCGAGCGAAGAGTATTCAACTCATGCTGCAAGGCTTCAATGGACGCTGTGCAATCTACTTCTTCCTGTTGTAACTTCTTTAAAACAAGGATCATCTCCTCAGTAGCTTTCCGAACGGAGATTAGATCTTCGCGGAGCTCTTCGAGTTTAGCACGATCTCCCTCGCTTTCAACTTCAATCTGAGCCACTTCCTGGAAAGTGGTAGCCCACTTCGATCGAAGATCTGAGGCAAGAGTATAAGACTGAGTAAACTCTTGTAGCTCGATATGGATTGCAAGAGGAAGGTCAGAGAAGGCAAGCAAGTCTTCGACCATCTGCTCGACTTCGACTTTGAAGGTTGGTTCTAGGAGGGCTTGATCCAAGTCCCAACTACAAAAATGAAGGCTGGTGAAAAGATGAACATGTTGAGATGCCCCAGGAACAAGAGGTATATCTCTCGACATTTCTCGAGAAGAGTCAATGTGGATGATTTCGACATCCTATGATGAGCAAATATCTAGAAAAATCAAGAAAGAAGGAAAGGTGATCGAAATCAAAATAAAAATACCTTGGGAACCGACTTCATCGCATCCTTAAGAAGTTTCTCACTGGAAGGCTTTTGAGTTTTCTTGGAAGAAGGGATCACTAGTTTTCCCTTCCCTTTATCTGGCTTTTTTGTGGTCGAAACCTAAGATGGGAAGACACATCTTTATAGTCAAGTTGGTTTCCATGCTGATACTCGAAATAACAAATAACAGAATACTGAGGCAAGTTTACTTACAGTTTTGGTGCTGCCCGAGTCCACTTTTTGTTTTTTCAAGGTTCCAATACTCTGAAATTTAAGGATCGAGATAGGTTTTCATCGAAGAAATATAAAGTCACTATTTGAAGCCATTCGATGAGGATTCAAAAATAACTCTCGATAGGAATTCAAATCTCTCTGGGTAGTATGTGCATCAAGATTGAATTCCTAGGGGGGCATTTGTTAGGATCACTCGAAGACCAGGTAACTCGAAAAGCACATTCAGGAGTTTCAGGAAGTATCAAAAGCTCAAGCTGTCCGTATTCAAAATACAGTCGAAAAAATGAGTCGAATCAAACCGAGAAGTGCTCGAAAGATGGAAATTACTGAAGGTTTCCAAGTAGTGAGTAGTTATCTCAGAACGGTTAACGGAAAATGGATCGAAGTGAAAAGAAAAAGAGTGGAACGAGCGGTTACGAGAGGTTACATTCTAAAACCACCTCTTGGGCATAGTGGATGGCGGTTACCTTTCCATGACGCACATGCACTAAAATTAACCACCTTCATTTGACTCTATAAACACGAAGAAATATGTACTTTCAAGAGGTCGGAAATTTCATACTCACATTTCTGTAAGCACTCTCTGCCTGCGCATATGGCTTTCGTGCACGCATCTGCTGGGTATCAATTTCTTGACCACTTTTCTTTGCTTTTTAGGAGTAGAATTAGCGTAGTTTTCTTAGTTTATCTCGTTTAAACCCACGTAGTTGTATTACTTCAGCATTGTAATTCTGGAACGTTATGTAAGTTGAACCATGATTTGTATTGCAAATATCTCAAGAGGCGCTACAAAACTACCCCGTATAAACTGGTGTATGGGCACGAGGCTATTCTTCCTATAGATATTAATTTGCAACCAATTCATATACAGAAACAAAATGAGTTACCTATGGAGGATTATTGGAATTTAATGGTCATGTAGCAAACTACCCACCTATTCACCCAAGTGAGTTAAGCACTTATAAAATCCTTCAACCTTGTGTATTGAAAAGCCTAAAGAAGCTTGATAGTAAAGAATACTTGAGAAGTCCAATGTGTTTGTAGTTGGTAGTAAGAGATAATACTTGGTGTTGTACACTTGTTGAGTAGTGAGTTCCTTTAATGTAAGAAAGGACTCGACGTCGCTTTTGGTTTAAGAGTGAACCAGTATAATCTCTTTACGTGAGTCTCTTTTTCCTTTACGTTGTACATTATCCATTTGTGCTTATGTTTATTAACTAACATGCTAAACTAATATGGTCGAAAAATGTTTTTGAAATAATTTTTAAACATACAATTTAATTCTTCCTTCTAGTGTGTTACTTTATGTATTTCATTGTAATCTTATTTTTTAAAAATAGTATTTTCATTTGAAATTTAAAGTAATTAACGTAAAAATTTTAATGCTCAAATTAATGAACAATATTTATTCTTTCATAAATAGAGACATTAATAAAATATTAAATATTCACAAAAATATATATTATATTTTTTGTAAAAGTTTTGGTAGAAAGGATTTTTTTCAAAAACGGTTTATAAAAGAATGGCTGGCCGAGGTAGGCTAGTGGTTTAGGTTGATGAACAAGCACATTCAACGTGAGGAAATCATTTTCCGCGTTAGCTTACTATTTTCTTCAAAGTTAAGCGATGACTTGGGATTGCATATTGATTAAATGATCTTCTCGAGCTGCCTTTCTGTTTTTAGCTCAGGATGCTGCTTCGTCCTAACTTTTGCCTAGGTTACTTGAGATGTGTTCCCTAGCAGACATTTTCTTTTGATCCTTACTTTTTCCTAGGTTACCCTTTTTAATTGTGGGTTGCCTAGCAGATCTTGCCCTAACTTTTGCGCAGCCCCCTTAGTGGGTTTCCTGTTGGGCCTTTGTCTTTGCAGCATTTGTGATCATTTTTCATTCCTTCATTAAAGGGGGATGCCCCTTGACTGATTTCATTTGGACTTTTATCCACAAGTCATGCCCAATTTGATTGATCTTTATGTGTTTTTTATTTCGTATTAAGCCATTGTTTGTGATGACGTCCTTATTTCAAATGTACTTGTTCATTTAAGGTTTGTTGACGAGGCTTAGAGTAGATAAAAGGGAAAAGAGAAATGAAGTAGAAAAGTGTATGGCATTAAAATAGAATTGTCAATTTACACGTGCCCATTTAATGTAGCTTGAGGGCCCGGGCATGCCCCAAGTTCGTGATTCGTACACAAAGAAAAAGAAGGAGGTTGCCCATTAGAGAGGCTTAGGTCATCTAATTGTAGAGCTAGTCCTCCACTTGCTTGGATGTGGCGCTTCAGAAGATTTCGTGTAGAGGGAGGGCCTTTGGCTT